AAAAAAAAGAAAAAAAAAGAAAAAAGAAAAAAAAAGAAAAAAAAGAAAAAAAGGAAAAAAGAAAAAAAGAAAAAAGAAGACCAGGGATGAGAAAAAAACAAGACACCAAGGCACTAAGACACTGACCATTTCGTAAGTTGCAATGATTGGCAGTAAGCGCAGGACCCTACGTGTTTTACCACTGCATGTGCAAGCAATTATTGGAGGATTGCTTATATTTGTGACTGAGCATCCAGAGTTGCATTTAGACCCTGGACAGGAATCAGGGAAAGAAAAGGAAAACATAACGAGTTCCAACCAAGAGCCCTTCTTAGTCAGAAGAATAGTAATAAAGACCTTACAAAATTCTGCAGTGAACACAGTGTGTCTCTATTTATTGGAATTGTTATGTGCATCTCCTACACATGCACGAGTGTGTATAAACACAAACACGCAAACAGATAAACACGCTATTTCCCCGCTTAATATTTGTTTGTATTCCCGGGAAATAACATCTCAATTTGCTCTCGAGCTCGACTCTGATGAAATAGCTCGTGAATGTAATTGCCTTCATTAACGAATATTTGGTCTTCCAGCATCTGAAGTTCAGACGGCGGAGGAAGGAGAAGGCTAGGCTGGCATCGTTTTGTGTTTAGGTTAACAAAAATCAACACTTCTATTGTCATTCTTCATGGAAAGTCTCCATTTAACGAGTCTGGGGTTTAAGGAGCTTCATAGATCAAAGGTAACCTCGCTTGGCTTAGGAGAAAAATCCCTCTGGAGCAGTGAAAATTAGCCGCAATTTGGCCCTAACTACACTCCCCAAAATGTCGCTGTGGTCCTGCCGGTGTCCCTCGCTCCGCATGCCCGCAGGGCTGCGCCCGCTCCCGCCTGCCCGGGCTCGGCTGCGGCACACGGGCTCGTCCGAAAATTCAGCAGCTGAGTCCCACAAATGTCGGCTGCACACTTGTTGCAAGCCAGCATCAGCCCGTGCGGCAGTTCCTATATGCGTATCTCGGTGTAATTGATCTGGCTGAGTGAGGTCTTTTTGGTAATTTGGATACACCAAGTCTCCAGTTAATGACATATAATCAGCCTTTAGGTCACTTGGTCATTCTCTTATTACAAACCCCTCCTGCTCTCTCTGATCTCCTTTCAAACTAAATTTCACACAAACAAATAAAGCAAGACAGGGACAAGTCCTTAAAATGCAAGAGTGAAATATTGGAGAATTGCTCTTGGGGAACTATAAACATTTTTTAAAAGAAAAAAGCGAAAAGATAGGACAGAACATCTTATCGAGAAAGAGAGCATTGTGTACAAAACACGGAGGGAAAACCGGTCTGGCTTGTGTTAAAAGTGACATAAAATTAAAATAAAATAATTACAAACAGAAATGGTATAATGTAAACAGAATACAGGAGATTTTACTAGAAATGCACAGCCGCATACTGTAATTTGTTCATTCAGATGATGCGATGGTACAACCTATTTGTGGATACACAAAATATTTATTTGCTGAGCTTTAGAAGGAAAAAAAATATAATTCTTTATTCTTCTTTTCAGGAAAGCTAAGAAACTGGAAAACGGAGAGGTGAATGCCATGTACCTCCCCAGACCTGGAGGGAAACAGAGCTGCGGCCAAAAGGAGTGGGTGTAAATGCGACAACAAAAATAAATACTTTATATCACCCTGCAGAACTTATTTTACTAAGTCAACATTTTGTTTTTCTGCAGCTCACCTTTTCTTTCCTCTAGGGAGAGACAGTGCTCACTTTTTATTAGGTATTCCCTAAAAGTTTATTTTGATCTCCGTCCAGGTGTGTGTATACACACACACACACACACACATATATATATGTGTGTGTGTGCGCGTGTGTGTATATATATACATGCACACGTATAAATACAATCAACAGGCAGAGGTTCACGTGTGAGCAGAGGCTGGTACCCAGGGAAAAGGGGCTTTCAGATGCTCTAGGTAAGATCCCAGGGCCCTACAGGCTGCAGGCAACTCATTGCAAAGCCAAGCCCCGTTGTTCGGAGCTAAAGCTGACTTATAAAATCGAGAACGGGGAGATGTCAATGTGGTTCAAGTGTTAGCACATTGAGAAAGCAGCCTGCAGAAGAGGGCTGCGATCCACATTCCCTCACAGGCATTAGCGCCTTTCAAAATATCATCGACATTTTTAGCGGAGGTCTCGTTGGTGTGTAACGCGGGGCTCAGACAGGCGCTAATTGAGCCCGAAGCGTGTGCGAGGTTGCGAGAATGAGTGTCGGGGCAGGCTCGCACAGCGACAGAAATGGGAGCGATGGATCGACGGAAAGGAGTGCCACAGGCCCCCGCGCCGGGCGTGTTGGTGTGACACATCTCGTTATTAATTCAATAAGTTCCCTGCCTTTTCGCCATTTCTGAGGGCCGTTTGAAATTTTTTTTTGCCCCTCCCGCCTTTGGGCTACTGTGTTGAAGTACCAGCCCGCAGCCACACGGCGATCCGACCCACTGCATCCAAGGGCGCGGGGGGTCAGGGCCCGACGCTGCTCCCCTCTCGGGGACCCGGGCCGCCCCTCGGGAGCCGCCGGGGATGCTCAGCCCGGCCCGGCCCGGCCCGGCACCCTCCCACCGGTGCTGGGGATGCCGGGGCCGGGGGGAGGCGGCTGGCCGGGCCCTGCCCATGGCACCGCCGGGCTGGGGGCGGCTGGAAAGGGTTAAGCGCTTCCCCTCCTCCTGCTGCAGCCCCCTGAATGCCGCTGCTTTCCTCTAGAGGTCTCATTAGGGAAACCCTAACTGCTATTTTCAACGTTTCCTCAATCAAGCGCCTTTAAATAGAGCTCCACAAACAAATTGGCGGCAAAAAGCGCAGATCTTGTCACGGGCGAGGCCGATTCGATATTTCACCTTGTTTGCTTAGTAATTACAGCCTGGCTTATGGCTACCTGCGCGCTGGGGCTAGCTCC